AATTCTAAGGGTTTTTCTTTAAATGTCTAAACACTCATCCATAAGGAAGACTGAGTGCCAGAGAATTGAGGCCTTTGAATTGTGGTGCTGGAGGAGACTCCTGCAAGTCCCGTGGACTGCAAGGCAATCAAACCGGTCAGTCCTAGAGGAGATCAACCCTGACTGCTCTTTAGAAGGCCAGATGCTGAAGATGAAGCTCAAATACTTTGGCCACCTAATGAGAAGGAAGGACTCCCTGGAGAAGAGCCTAATGCTGGGAACAATAGATGGCAAAAGCAGAAGGGGATGGCAGAGAATGAGGTGGCTGGATGGAGTCACTGAAGCAGTTGGTGTGAGCTTAGGTGGACTCTGGGGGATGGTGGAGGACTGGAAGGCCTGGAGGAATGTTGTCCATGGGGTTGCAATGGGTTGGACACGACTTTGCGACTATCAACAACAAAAATATTCATAGAATCATGCCTTCAGTCACCTTTTGATTCGTAAATTTCAGCAAGTATTCTCACATGCTATCAAGCATTATTTTTGCAGCCATAAGGACTAGAAACTTGCTTTAAAAAACAAAAACAAAAAAGGACACCAACATCACATAGCAGTTAGTGTCAGGTCCAGAGTAAGGAGTTGTGAGTTCAATTGCCATTCAACCATAAGGTTCAGTGGGTGACTCTGACAAGTATTTATCTCTCAGGCTAACCACCTCACAGTGTGGTTATGGGGAAAAACTTTGTGGGGCAAGAGTGGACACCATGTATGCTGTCTTGAGCTCCTTAGAGGAAGGGTAGGATAGACATATAGTTCTGACACTTCTATTTCTCTTCAATAAAGAAAAACCTATTTAAAAATGGAGCAATACATATCCTGAATCGGGCTGAGATGAACAGACCGAACAGACAACCAGCTTTCACACTAGCGGTAACTTGTCAATAATTTTAAAAGAAGCAGAGCCATTTCCTAGTTTCTAGATGTTTCTTGTAAGAACAAGATTCATGCTAACAACTTAGTCCATCTCTGGTCTAAACACAACTTTTCTCTTCCTAATTACAAGTGCTCTGTGGGTAATTATGCTATGAAGAGCCTTCTTTGTCAACGGCCCCTGACACACCTAGAAACAGCTGGTTAGGGATGCCGTCAACTTTGTGAGGTTTCCAGGGTCTTTCCCCCAGTCTCCTGCATTCAGCAACTAAATATGTTAAAGCCTAATTACATACATTTCCCCAAAGGGTGTTTCACTTTGATTTTTTATATTGGTAAACAATGTACAGAATAGCTTTTCAAACAAGATTGCCATCTTCCTTAATGTGAAGACACACCGCATTTTTTAAACAAGTTTGTTATCTAAGCAAATAAAACAGAATTGTGCTCTGTAAAGTTGTGAATCTACAGCAGATGATTTTCTGAGAACAATATTTTGCAGGCATGGACCCAAAGTCAACTTTATGTGACAAAAGGAAGCAAGTATGGAGTGGCAGTTTCACCTAATGCTATTTTATACCGACTACTTGGCAACCAAATGTGAAGCATAGAACTGCAGCATAGTCTGGGTGTGAAAGCTGGACAGTGAATACAACAGGAAGAAAACTGATGCATTTGGTGCACGGTGCTGGAGGGGAGCTTTGCGAATACCCTGGACGAGAAGAAAGACCAGCAAGTGGGTCCTAGATCAAATCAAGCCAGAGCTTTTGCCGGAAGCAAAAATGGTGAAAATGAAGGTGTCGTACTTTGGACACATCATGAAAAGGCAAGACTCACTGGAGAAGACAGTCATGCTAGGGAATGTCGAAAGTAGAGGAAGAGTAAAACCAGGGCCGTCTTAACGCATGGGCTTGATGAGCACTTTCCTGTGGGCCCCATGCTAATCTGTATTTGTTAACCCTTGGAAAATTGGAAAACTTCCAAAATTAGCAGTAGTTGTAGTTGTCGTAGGGGCCCCAGTACGCTGCTTTGCCCGGGGCCCATAATGCCGTTAAGACGGCCCTGAGTAAAACCAGCTCTGGGATGGATTGGTTCCATAAAGGAAGCCACAGCCCTGGGTTTACAAGAGCAAGTCAGGAAGATAACTTGATGGCCCATAACAAGAAGAGCAACAAGTGTTTCTAGTCTTCTGTGTGGAGTGCTTGAATAGATAGTGGCAATGATGTGCTAAAAGCTCAGGAACTGGTAAGTAATCTTCATACATATTAGAAGCTGCAGTGGAAACTTGAGTGGTTGAAAATGTGGGATAAATCATCTAACCAATAAATAGCCCATATCATGTCTTCACCTGTGGCATGTAAGAAAGTCTGCTGGGCAATGACACAAAGGAAACTTTTGTATATTGGAAGGAAGGTTGCTCAATTTCTCTGTTTTTAGGATATCAATGCACCAGAAACACAAAAGTGTGTTACAGAGAGATGGTAGGAAGTGTCATCAGTGACTACCCTTTGAGTACCTATTTCCAATTCTTGATCCAGCTTTTTGATAAAAAAGCTGTTGAATCTGTAGCAAACAAGAGTTTTTATCTCCCTCTCCTAAAAAGTTCTACCCGCTGATTGTGACAAATTAAATCCCTTTTAAAGAGACAGGAGCAGACTAGAACAGCACCTGCTTGGTCCAGACTGGGAATCAGGAGATCTGGGTTCAAGTCCCCACTGTGCCATGAAGCTCAATGAGCAACTTTGCGTCAGTCGTGACTCTCAGCCTCACCCGTTTCACAGGGTTGTTGTGAAGGTAAAATGGAAAGAATGGAAAGACTATGTAAGCCACCCTGGGTTCCTTGCAAACGGAAAAAAGTGGCATATAAAATGTAAGCGTAATTATAGTTCACTAAATCTTTTAAAAGGCAACACACTTGTTTTAGTTTGCAGGTTCACAAAAGAGAGCCAGGCAGGGAACATACGCAGCTTCCAGGGCTAAATTCAGGGGTGAGGACTATATTTTAGATTCCCCCACTGGTGGTGTGACCTAAATGGACCCAGCATCTCCCCATCTTGAGTTTGCCTTTCTCCATGCTAAGAAGAGCATGGAGTTCCACGGCTCTATCAGCAAAGGAGAAGGTACTTAGCCGGCACTGGACAGGTCACCGGTTTCATGCACCACGTGTCATGTCACTGGGGTGGGGGGGGGGGCACTGCTTCCCACAACACTGGCCAAATTGCCTCCCGCCCCATCCCACATTGTGATCTTGTAATGGCAGTTTGAAATTACAGCAAGGATTATCCTGTGCAGACTTTGCCCTCCCAACCAGGAGTGGCAACAAAGACCAAGGAAATCCCTTCTGATATCTCTGATCACATACTGGTCTGTTCCAAAGGGCCGAATGTGGGAGTCAAGCGCTGCCCCCAAGGAACCCAAGGTGGTTCTGGGGATGAATATGTCCAAATGAAAATATTTGCTGGAAGAATTGTGAGCAACATACAACCTTTCCCAGCTATATCTACTCAAATGTTATTTGTGTGACACATAGGTTCAGATGTAAGATTTTTATTTAAACAAACATACATGTTTTGATTTATTAAGGTTAAGTTTCATTAATAACTCACTCCTAAATATATTTGACCAGCAATTGAATCTCATTCAGTTTGGTGAAACTTCCTGGTGGGGTTGTAATCTTAAATCCATTGAATGGACAATTCTGAGCCTATTTACTCAGAGGTATTTGCTATGAGTTCAGTGGGGGTTTCTATGCCCAAGTAACTGTGTACAGTTTAACTTTCATTGATTTTAACGAGGCAGGATTACATGGAGCATTTTGCAAAGTACAACAGATTTTTGTTACAGTTTAACATTTACTGGAAAGAGATAAAATGGATGAAGTTTTTAAATGTGATATAAGAAAAGGAGAAGAGGTTACACGCATTCATTTTGCTCATTAACTTAATGAAAAACTCCCAAGCCACAGTTCCATTTGCAATAATGAGGTTTCCTTGGCTATCATAAACATTTGCAAGTACCTTTTGAAAACCATTGTATGCTTTTAATTATCTTAATGTTCACAAAGCAGAGTGCCAGGCTCCGCCTGAAGTTTTTGTATGTCAGGCAGAATGCTATTCTGGGATTTTTACATGTGGGGTAGGCAGATAAAATAACCACCTGCCAAATCAGACTTCTGCATTAAATTTCAAGTACTCCAAGATGAATGACAGCTCTGGAATTCCATCTGGCGCTCTATCCAGACTGCGTTAACTGGGCTTAGGCAGAGCTTGATGAAGTCAGACATAAAATGCTTCACATAGTATCAGCTAGGTCAGTTACTCAAAAGGTGGTTTTAGCAGTGTAGTCCCATGGATGTTTAGACAGAAAAAACGTCCTGCAACTCTCAGCAAGGAGCAGGAAAAGGGGTTCATGCCCACAGAGAGGAAACAAAGATCCGGGTGACTGCTCATGATCTGGTGCAGTGCGGTCAAACTTTTCATCCCTTGAGGGCTGCGTGGACCTCTTGCACTAAGGCCAGTGGAATTTCCCCAGCATGCCCTGCCCGCTCCTGCTGACAAGTGCAAAGGTGCTCAACTGGAGCAGCATGGAGCATGCTGGAGCAAGCTCTTGCAAGGCTGCCAGCCCCAAGGAGCGAGCGGGATGGGATGGGATGGCAGCCTTGGGAGAGCTCACCACAATCATGCTCATGCTGTCAGTAGGGTGGGAGAATGGGGGGCCCTGAGCAGCAAGAGGGCCACAGAATAAGGCCTTGGGGCCACATGTGTGGCCTGTGGGCCATGTGTTGGGCTAGCCTGATCTGGAGCTCCACACGCACATACTTCGAGGACTATTACAGCTGGAGCTCAACAAGTAGACTTTGCTCTCCCAACTAGGAGTGGCACTGAAGGCCCAGGAAATCCCTTCTGATATCTCTGATCACATATTGGAGACAACAGTCTCTCTCTATAGCTATCAATGTTGCTGTTCAGGGCTCTTTATGCTAAGGCACTTACTGAGTCGAATTTTCCACTAAGAAAAACTGAATTCTGCACCACCTATAAATGAGGCAGATCTGAATATTTCCCTTACTTTGCACAATATAATTCTGCCATGTGCATGAGCTACTTTAAATAATTATTGGAATAATCTTATAGGACATGCTAATCTTCTCTGTATTGCTCCAATTTTAGTATATGCGCTGCCAAAGCGAGCACAGTCCTATTGTCCCTGGACATTGTCTGAGGGTCACAGGACACTTTGAATTACCAGCTTCAAGGTCAAAGACAACACTTGGACTTCAGGGCTGGGAATCGGAGCTCCAATTCCCCTTCTTCTTAAAGCTGGCATGAAAAAAGACATGGAACCACATGTATTTGTCACTTTTACCATACTGGACAAATGTGGAAGCCTCCAGACAAATGATGTGGGTATGGGGCAGCCACAGTATGTCTGAACAATCTCAAAGCTACCATCAGGACATAACATTCTATATATCACAATGCCATCAAGTCTGAAAACAAAGTCAAAAATTGTAAATTTCAAAATCTCAGTCCATCCTATTCGTCATTCCCAAAGTGTGTGTGTGTGTGTGTGTGTGTGTGAAGGGGTATGAAAATTCCTAGGCAGGAGTAAGGCAGGAGAGGAGAAGAAATTAATTTCATGCATACCTCAAAAGAAAAGCAAGTACAAACAGTTTTAATTGGTATACACATTCTAATTTTATATATTGCTGATTTGTGTGTATATTTGTGTGTATACAGATTTCCTTAGAAGCTAATGACCAAAAAAATAAAAAAGGAAAGGGGAGGGGAGGGAAGGGGAGGGGAGGGGAGGGGAGGAAAGGAATAAAACTTGCTCAAATGATCAAGATACAACCAACCAACACTCAGGGTCAAATCAGACCTGTAGTTTTCTTCTGAAAGGCTGAGAATTTTCTGCCACGTTGCCCTGGTCAGATACGGAGCCCATCACAGTTGCCTGATAAGTGAAAATGTCCCCTTTACTTGGATGGTTAGGGCCAGTAAAGTTAGCGGTCCGATCTGTGCATGACCACTGGAGGAACATCAACAACTGTGTAGGCATTCATCCTGCACACATTTGGTGCTGTAGTGGAGCCACAGCTTACAGGGTAAGAGCACCATTATTTTGGATTAGCTGAAAGACTGACATTGTTTGCTTCCCCTCATTCAAAAATGCCCAGTTCACTCTGAGCATACCCTCAATCTTTACACTAACTGGATAGTGTGGAGAATAGTTTCTCCAGCAACAGAGCTACCCCTGTTGAAATGCAAAGCATTTTGGGTGGTTTGGTCTTTCATGGGCCACAAAGACCCATCAGCTTTACAAAAGACCAGCTCCTGGTAGAGATCAAAAGTGCTAGAACAGGTTTGTTGAGATGCATCAACACTGCAGCCTGAAAGGTTTGACTTAAACAAACAAAATGGGGGCAACAGTTGCAAATACAAACAACCAACAAGTGCCATACAGCCCAAAACGACTGTAATTAAACCGCTAAACTCTAGCACACACACTAAAGGCTTCTGTACATTTTATTCCACCATGTATACATATGTGCCATACAAGGAATAAAATAAATTATACATGTCCGAAGGCAAGCCGTAACAATAAGCCCAACCAGAAATCCAAGTACTGCTGTACACATATATGAGGTTGGGATGAAAGGCACTCAGCATTTTCTAAGGAAATAACACATTGACTAAAGAAGCAAAATTCACCACTACGCCATTGGAGATATAGGGGTGAAAGGGAATTCAGGGTACACACCCAAGTGCTGCCCCCAACATTCCCACTTGACCAGCTATTCCATGATCTTTATGCACTGAACGGAAGGTTTCTAAGAACATCCAGCTGGACAAGTTTGTGCACCTCTTCTACCAACTTTAAAGAAGCCTGTATTTTATGCCAAGAGCTTTTACATTCTGGATTTACAGGTGGTGAAAGAACTGGTCCAGCCGTCCTTGGATGTCAAAGACTACATGCCTGGACCATCAGACTAAACTGTAGAGTGAGTCAAATATGAATGGAATGCAGGCATCAGCCGTGCCTGACAGTTGTGGGGCAGCAACTTCTTTCAATGGATCCTGTGATGGACATGGAACAGTTGCACACTTCACTGCGTCTTTATGTCTTAGTGCACACTGAACAAGCACCAATCAAAGCATGGTTTGGATTCTCATTAGCAACATGGCAAAGGTATCATATAGCCTTATATGAAAGGCACACCCTTTCAAAGCCAAAAGACCAGACAAAACACGTTAGTCTTCCCTTAGTGCTTTCATGTAGCCGAAGCTAAATAAGTCTACTAATGTTGGAATCGCTGTCACCTATATCCCACAGGCACCAAATATTGTCTGCCTTATTTATTCCTTGAATTCATTTGTCAAATCTATTTGCTCCCTTATCGCTTATAACGGCCACTGTAGTGCACAATAAAAACACAAATAAAACCCCAAATACACATAAAAACAGTAGCAGCATAATAAAACAATCAGTTAAAGGCAGCAGAAGCTATGCATATGAATCCACCATGCTCACATGTACTAATAGCCTGTGCAGTTACTTGGAAATAAGCTGTCTTCACTTCAGTGGGTTTTGTGTCACCCAAAAATGCAAAGACACCACTGTAAACATGCCACTTTCTCCTCTTCCTAACTTCTGGCAGCCAACAAAGTAAGGAGAGAGCAGGGAAACTCGCAGTGCGGTACCACTGCATCCCACATTTGGGCTTACTAGGTATTACTCAAGTAGGCAGGGAAAAGAGAGGTAGCGCTGCTGTTTTTAGCAGCAGCCTGGTGTCTCCCAATCATCTGGCTGGGCCCCAAGAATGTTTCAGCTTGCAGCCTGAAGTTCTGAGCATTTTAGCTTAAATAAGATGATGGTGTGTATTCAGATGCAATTATTAAAGTACCTGAACATGAGAGATGTGCCACGCAACTAACTCCTCTTCCATGTTTCCTTTACTCACCCACTGAAATGGAAGACTCCTAGGCTTTCTAAAACCAGACTTTTCTTTGCACCTGGCAGCTGCAAATGGCAATTTTGAAACCAGATCCATGACAGTTTGGGAAGCTTTTCAGCCCAAGAGGCAGGATGCGCTTGGGAAGCTGGCCTGGAACTGCACAGGAGCAGCAAGAGTAGCTAAACACCAAAGTGGACATGGACCTCCCTCCCTCACACACAAACATGCAGAAATATGTTGCTTTCCTGAAGAGAATGGTCAAGATGTGGGAAAGTGAGCAAGGCCTGAGAAAAACCTCATGGACCAGGCGAGGAAGTCCTGCAGGCTGTATTTGGAACACAGGCCAGAACTTCCCCATGGCCACAGTCCAATGCTTCCTTCCAAAATGCTGTGTGTGTGTAGAGCTAAAATGGGCTGCAACCCTGTTGGCTTATTTAGTGATACAGTTCTGAACTTGCAGTACATATCGCATGATGGATTTTTATCTTACAGAGTAAATCAATAGTACTTCATTTTCTCTTGATAAATAGTGGAACAAAATATGTTTCCTGAAAGTTTTTCTTCTCTTTTACAGCATTCCAACTTCCTACCAGATGTTCTCCCTCATCCTGTATAATAATTAACTAATATTGGTTAAAACATCCACATTTAAAACACAGAGAGAATTTAATGAAGTTCATGAAAACAACTTCAGAAGAATAGAGGTTGTAGTATTTTAAATCTATTAAAATGAAATACATTTTATATATTTAAGAGTTAGTTTGTGTGTTCTCCATGATCTTATCTGTTGGAAAGATAACATAGAGATTTAATCAGTATCAATCAATATGTTTTTGCCCTTTTCTTAAAAAGCAAAACTTGCAACAGGAATGCAGAGGATACCACAAGACTTTATTAAATACACTCTCTGCATCTGTCTTTTTACCCCTGGATGCTTCCTACCAAATGCCGCTTTGTTGGAAGTGGCACTAAAGAGCAACCATTTCTCCCATCCTTTATATTACCCAGTTTCTAGTGGCATTGGTGTGTGTTGCCATGGCAATGATTAGAGTATAAATGTTAACTTATATAATCCTGGAACCGTGGTATTATAATCATCAGACGCTTTCCTTGATCTATAGGGGGCATGAGAACAAAGGGATGCATAAAACAACAGAGCATGCAGAAAAGAGAGGTGAGCACCATTGCTTCCTCCCCAACACCTGTTTATAAGCTTCCTAAGCATATGCATACCTGTCTGGCACAAAATCATATTATTGGTCCAGTGTCACGTACTGTGAACAGCCACGGCTGAACAAGATCTCAGTTGCAGATCTTTCCCAGTCCTGCTACATGTGATATTTGAGCCGGAGTGGGCCTCAAAACTTCTGCTTGGAAAGCCTCAGGAATCAAAACAGTGAAGGTGCCTTGGGGCAAATCTAGCCCAAAGCTGAGAGCACAACTGCTTGTCAATCTTATTATGGTGATTCCTGCCAGAACTGTAGGGAGCATGTCTCCCAAAAAGCCCTGCAGAGCTGTTTATATATTAATACACCTCTTAGGTGGAAAATATTCGGGAAGGTTGAAAGTCAGATACAATTAGTGATGAATAAATTGACTGCAAGAATGACAGAAGCAACCACCGCAATGCAATGCAATGCAAAGCAAAGCAATTCATTCTCAGCGCAGGTTCTGCCTAAGAATGCCAAAGATGACATTTAAGGTAGCAGAGCCATTTTTCCTGGTAGCTTTTTATTTATCCACAAAAGAAAGAAATGTTAACCTGGAAAACTGCAATGACTAAGCTTCACTTCATTTTGCAAGTTCTTTGCGTAACATAAATCAGAGTCCAGGAACAGTTGCTTGTGCATTCAAAAGGTGTTGTTTTTACAGCTGGGCCAAATGGATGGAATCTTCAGTGCAGCACATGTGCTTTCAAATGATTGCACAGGAAACCCTGCTGTTCTTTGTCTTTCTTTAATGAAAAAGCCATTAATGGCAATTGCACTTCCCAGAAAAACAGCTTCAGGAAAGGGATGAGTAGTTCTAGGACTCATATCTGGTTCACATGGGTCAAATGTGAGGCCTCCATAGGTATATCCAATACCCCACATGAGCTGAGTTCATAACCTACAGTGTTTGTGTGCACATGTGGGGTGGGAGCAGACCTCTTCTAGCCCAGGAGCCAGAATGCCACCTGGGGCACCAGGAAACATGTCTCTGTCAAAGCTCCTCCCCTCTCATCCAAAACCCCAT